CAAACGTCAGAGCGGGGAGGGTGCTTGGAGATCCCTCGGCCCGGCCTCCCGTGCACGCCGAGGGGGAGACTGAGTCCGGGAGAGGCCAGGGACTGTCTGGGGAGATCTTGGCGCCGGAGCTCAGCGCTTCCGGACTTCCCCAGCCTCTGCAGAGGCTGAGACCGCAGGTGAAAGGAGGGGTTTGCCGTACTGCGTCCCCAGGGGGTGAGGACCCGCAAGGCGGCGCTGGACTCTTGTTGGTGGGGGTCGGGAGGGAGAAGATGTTTCAGGCGACCGGCTCCCCAGGTCTCTCAGGGATGACTTGCAGACCCTAGTCAAGGCTGCTGGCCCGTTCCCCTGCAGGCCCGCTCCTTTCAGGCGACGATTCCTAGACCCGAGAGGGGAGCCGACTCGCCGTAGCCCCGGCGCGACTCAGCCGCTAGCGGAGCCTCACCCCCGTCTGTTGGGGCTGCGCCGCCCGTCCGTGCCGGAGGCAGCCACTTTCTCTCCGTGGGTCCTAGACTCCTCGGCTGCGCGGAGGGTGCGCATCTCTGGGTCCTTCGAAGGAAGGACCGCCCTCGACCCGCAATCACCTGTCTTTCGGTGACTCGAGACCCCCGTGTGTGTGGCGCAGCTTAGAGGGTGAAGGCCGGGCTCTGCCCTCTCGTGGTCACCCCTCCAGTTCGCCGGGGTCAGGAAGGGCGCCAGTGCCTCCCGAGACCCCGCGGGCAGCTGAGCGGGAGGCGATGGCCTGGGGGCGCTCGGAGCCCGCGCGTCCCGGGGAAGGGGCGGGCCAGCGGGACCCTTTTGCTTCGCGGTGTCGGGTTTCCGAGTTCGTCCCCGCGGGCCCCGGAGGCAGGGCGAGCCTCGGACCCGTCCCGAGACGCCCCGCAGCGGCTGCCCCGCCTGCCAGCTTCGCCGCGCAGTCTTTCGCGAAAAGACCTTGAGGATGTCCCTGCGGTGTCGCAGGACCTCAGTTTTATGCTCTGTGAATGGGGGCGGGGGCGGAGTTCGGGGGCCCCTTCTATCTTAGGATTCCGGGCTTTGGTGCGGACTCCAGAGGCTTTTGCTGGGACGCAGCTTTCCTGGGAGGGAGCGGCACTGCCTGGACTTCGGGGTGGGGGTCAGTCCTGTTCCTCGGGGCGGCGAGCTGGGGCGGCTCAGCCCCGGCGGGCGCTGGGCAGCGGCCTTCGGCAGACGGAGGCCGAGCCCAGAGCCTCGCTTCGCGCCACCGCCTTTCTCAGCGGAGGGCGCTGGAGGACGGCAGGGGCTCTTCGCTCGCCCGGCAGAACTCCCGGCTTCCTTCTTACGAAGTAACACAGACCTGGAAAAAAAAAATCTATGTTTAACCCAGTTGTTTTTCCAAAGGGGGGAAAAGTTTAATTTCTTTTTTATTTTAACCGGGTTACATCATATCAATCTTATAATACTTGATTTTGTGGTTCTCTATATTTCCAAAATTCTAAGAGTAAGATTTCCAGATTTTAAATTTTGGATCCCTATCCTAACGTGATTCCATAAAAATCAAAGACTTCACATTCTATAGTTCTAAGATTCCATGACCAGAAGTCTAAATTCTGTCACTGTGACTATATGCTTGTGAATTTAAGCTTCTGGGCAAAGTGTAAAAGTGTATTCCTCATATTTTAAGACTCTGGGACTAAGATTTTTGTGCCCGAAAATATGATACCACTTCTCAAGATTTTAGATATTTTTGCAGTTCTAAGATATATATTACTTAATTTGAATTTCTGTCTGGGAATTTCTGATTGGAAGATTTGGTTCCTATAGATCCACAACTCTCTTCTTCCTTAAGCTCAAAATGTTAGTACTGGATCCACTAGTCTTTAACTCAAAGAGTCTAATTCTAATAATTCTCCTAATGTTCGTGACATTGACTTTGATCGGTCACGACTTTGATTAGTTCCCATGAGTTTACGATTCTGTACTTTTAAACTCCAGTGACTAAAGTTAGAAGCCTTCATGTCTCAGGATTTCTTGATCCTGGAGGTTTCTTGCCTGCAGTCTCATTCTTCTAGAATTCCGATCCCTCCTTCTTAAACAGCGCTGCTAACGAGCAGCCTAAGAGTTAACATCCAGCCCAGCCCGCGTGGCTCAGCGCTTGAGCACCTACCTAGGATCCGGGAAATCGAGGTTCGATTCCTGGTCAGGGCACATGCCCGGGTTGCCAGCTAGATCTCCAGTCGGGGTGTGCCGGAGGCAGCCAATCAATGACTGGCTCATCATTGATGTTTCTATCTCTCTCCCTTTCCCTTCCTCTCTCTGAAATCAATAACATACATATATATAAAAAAAACACAGTTAGCATCCAGACATTAGAATTCCCTAGATTCTAAGATTTTCCTGAACAAAAAGTTCCTGAGGATTCTAGTTCATAAATGTTTTATTCTAATGATGCATTTCAAAATTCTATACTTTGAAGATTCTATGAATCCACGATGTAAATTTTTAATTAAAGGATTTGATGAGTGAACTGGGACAGTTTACCCGTTTGGATCAAAACTATATGAAAAGATCCCTTCTGTGCCTGGGCATTTCCTTGCTTTTCTCTGGTCAGATCTTCCCCTCTTCTCTGGTGAGGTGCTACTTGATGTTTGTAGGGGTAACTGACCCCACTGAGAACCATTTGAAAGGTGCCGATTGGTTCCAGCCCCTTGGAAATCATTCTCCTGTCCAGCAGGGGTGGGTTGGCAGTGGTGGGCGACTTAAGTCTGCTTTGTGTCTACCTTCAGTCCTGCGTGTATCCCCAGCACCCTGTGAATAAACCTCCCCCTTCGAAGGCTATTTTATGTGCAATTTGGTTGTGGGGAGGGGGGATGCTGGTGATTTGTAGAAGCTGCTGGGAGCTTTACGACTTCTTTCCCAAAGTTTGAAGTGCCTTGAAGGGTTTGTAAATATGAAGGAGGGGATCCAGGAGGTCATGGAAAATTCCTCCCTATCCCTTGACCCAAATGCCCTTTCATGCACATTCAGAGGTAACCAGCTCTCCTCCTTAAGGAAACCTTGGAAATTGGAGCTGGAAGGACATGAGGTCCAGATTGGCAAGGGACTGGTTTAAGGTCTTGCAGAGCAGGTTCTGCATTGAAAGGGAAACAGGTCTTGGAGCTCCTTACCTCCTGGCCAGCAGCCGCTCCTTTTTTCCTGAGTTCTCAGAGCCTTGCTTGTGCTTAATGGCCTGGCTGGGCCACTGGCCTTACCCTGTGTGACAATAGAAACTCCTGTTCCCATTGCTTGCAAATCAGATCCAAGAATCTTGGTACAGGGGCAACACAGCGACTGTCTGGGTTTCTCTGGGACAGTCAGTCAGTCAGGGCCAGTGGCTGTACGGCCTCAGAGAGCATCAGAGCAATACACTGCCAGGGAGGGGTCCCTGTGGCACAGCACTGCCTGCGCCGCCGCGGCGCCGGGTGAGGGCCCCGATTCTAGCTGGCTCGGTCCTGGCCCAGCGGCCTCGAGCCATCCGCCGCCCTCCCTAGGCCTCAGTTTCCCGTCTGTTTAGGGGGGGAGTGCCTGACCTGTTGTCCCTCTTCCAGGGAGTCCAGAGGATGAAGTGGGGCGCATCGCCAACCCATTTTCTTCGTCTTTTAAATTGTTTTCAGGGCGAACTTGGGTGCGGAAAAAAGACAAGCTGGGGAAAATTCAAGTCGTGCCCGCGCATGGGCAGGGGTGAGATGCCTCCGCCTGGGAGAAGTAGCAGTTGATTCGGAAAATGTTTTCTGCGGCCCGGAGGGGATGGGGTAGGTTAGGATTTGGCTTCTTTCTGCTCCCTGCGCGGTGCGGGGACCCCGGGAGCTGGTCGGGGCACCCGGACTTCGGGGGCTTTCTCACCACCATTGGTTCACTTAAGCACCGTGAACGGAGCATTATCATCACCCCGGGGTCGGGGATCGGGCGGAGGACCTGGGTCCCAGAGAGGAGAGCCTCCTGCTTCCCACCACCAGCCTCGCATTCACCCTGAGGGAGCACCTCGAGTTTTCCTCGGCTCCCAATGCGGGCGCCGGTGCCGTCTCGCAGCCCTGCGAGTCCCCGAGCCGGGAGCGGGAGCGGAGCCTCGGAGCCGGCCGGGAGCGCAGTGGCGGCGGCGAAGAGCCAGGCGCCCGGAGAGCTTG